TCCTTCCTTCCTTCCTTCCTTCCTTCCTTCCTTCCTTCCTTCCTTCCTTCCTTCCTTCCTATGCTACTAAACTCCTACATTTACATAAAATGCCTCAACAATAATTTATATTATTGTTAAAAAAATTATATATTTCAATTATATTTGAATATATTTATTTCACAATTTCATTGTCACATTTTATATTTGTGCATTATTTATTAAAGTAAATATTTACTCCAAGATGATGTATTTATATAATTTTAAACATGTTTGCTTTACATGCAGTTCATGCTAATAAACCCAACCAACACAAACAATCAGCTTTATTGGTTATAACCCTGCAAACCAAGGCTTGACTTAAGGAAACAGAATTAATTACAGTAGACCGGAGTGTGTAAATAGACTCTGATTAGTTCCAGTCAGCTCTTAAATGCAGGAAAGAACATTTTGAATCTGTCTCACGTCTCCCTTTCTGTCCAGGAGCCACACAAGAAGGAGTATACAGGACAGTCGGCAGCAACATTCAAGTGCAAAAGCTCTTGAACGCCTTCTTTGGTAAGGAAACCTCTCTGAACATGAGCACCATCTGTCCATTTGCTTTGTTACACACATTAACCTCCTGTCACGCTTAGGATAATCTGCAACTTTTTTGTGCCACTTAGGTGCTAATAAAGTCCATGTAATGAGTTGCCAGAGTTGGCGCGTGTTCTAAGGAGCTTAAAGGGTCTGAAACAAGATGCAGCTCTTGCTTACAAAAATGCACAAATGTTTAGCTGTAAGGAAAGATTATCTTGCCGCAAACAAGAGGAAGAGTTATGGTATGAAAAGTACCAAAAGGCCCATATCACTCTGAAATCTGGAGCTGAGGAGCTGGGATTTATGTCTCTTGAATAGCTGACGGCAGGCTCTACTTAATCTGCAAACATAATCTTGATTTAATCACATGACTCTGTCTAGAGCTGGACTCCATAATGTTTACAGTGCTGTGAAAAACAGCTGACCCTCTGACGTCCCGCTGACGATCACCTTCGTCACACAGAGTCTCTATAAAAAACATAGCTAATAGATTTGTGAACTTAATTCACTGAACTAATCTTAGTAGCTGTTGCCTAACTACAAGAAACAAGTGCACAGCTTGTCGATGCAGTGCGGATGTTTCCTTTTTAGACCTCTAATTAAACTGCATCTGTTCTAACTTTACGCTGAACTTTTTACTTGCTTTTGATTTTATCTTAAACTAAAAGTAGTACTACAGGTTTTTACGCTCAGTAAAAATGTTAGAAAGGTACAGTAGCAGAAAGCATTCATGCATGCCGCTTTGCCACATCAATGAACACATTTCTCCATCTTAAATCAGCAATCCATCTTGGTTTATGTAAGTGACTGGTGATCAGGAGGTGTTGGAGGCAAAGGAGCGTCAAATGATCCAATAAACACCCTCCATAAAAATCCCTGGCTTGCACTGCTTGGAGTTCTAATGATGGAAATGGAAAGAAAAACTGGCTGACCTGAGTGTGCCTCCTAGTGCTGCTCCTGGATCAGTGCTGCTTTACTGGACGGCAGAGTTCAACTTTTGGTAAAACAACAGAAAATCCAAATAATCCAAAAACTTAATCAAAATAAACTAACAGGTGTTTAGCTTGGTATAATTTTAATCAATTACCGGGGATCAGCCCCTCAGAAGACATTAAGAAATCGTCGATCCCAGATATAACTGGAGTCTGATTTGTACAGTTTATCACGCTGTATTTTCTAAATCACGCTCAGAATACTATGGAATAAATTTCAGTTGATGGAATGCTTTTTAGCTCAAATGGAGAAAGGATTGTTAGATTTAGGAAACGCAAAAGAAGATGAATCTTATTGATCCTTTTGCAGTTATTCTGCAGTAGATCCCTGTTGTACATTTAACAGAAATGCTTGCAGACCTTATAAAGCTTTTGCACCTGGTTCATAGACAGAAAATGGTCCCAGTATGATATCAAGCATCACCTGTCATCAACAAATTCAAAGGAATCAGTTGCGTTTAATGGGCTCCATGCACAGCTCTACTTATTCCTGACCTTAAGGCAGCTCCTTTGTTTCCTGTCTGACTTGATGAACTGATGAAGCCAGGTGTGCCTGACCTCAGACACATCTCGATTAATCAGTTCATCTAGTAATGAAAGACAGGAAATACAGGAGCTGCCATAAGATCAGGAAGTAGTGAATTTGTACATAGAGACAATTTTTCTGTAGTTCACTGATAGAAAGTAGTAAAAAATGATGATTATGAAAGATAAATGAGTCTTGGTTCTCAAATGCTATTACTGAAAATAGTTGCAAAAAATCCTGCATGCATTTCTGTTTACCCCCCTTTGCTTTTAATCCCAGGGAAAGATGTGAAAATAAAAACAACAGCAGCACTGATACGGGTCAGAGAGAAACTGGAGAGAACTTTATGGTAGATGCACCAAGGCATCCATCCACCCAACCTGAAAGGCCAGGCATCCCGAGAAGTCATTGTAGAAGCAGCCAAGAGGCAAACAACCGTTAGTTCTTAACGAAGATTGACAATAAGGCATAAGAACTTCTATTTAAAGCTTGTCACAAGCCATCAGGAGAATAGAGTATAGTGCTGTGGACCGAAATTGGATGTTTTCCCCTCAACATGAAAAATAATTTTATGATAGATAACCAAAAATGTGCATCAACTCCATATCGACACATGGTGGTGGCTGCATAGTGCTGTGAGAAAGTATTAGTGAGCCAGGGAAGATCTAAAGAGACAATTAGGAGACGGATAAAGGTGCTAAAGGAAGAATACCTGTATGAGACAGATGTGAGACTGAAGAAAACATTCCTAAACGTACTGCAGGAGCTGCTAGTTCGGGATCATATATAGAGTGTTTAGATCAAAACATCAGGCCCAATCAAAATCCTCCATCATTTTACACCCTAAAAAACCTGCAGCTGCAAATTAATAAAAAAATATAAATCTACAAACTCTTAAGGCTGAATGTAAATTCATTCCACATTTTTAAGATGTTTAGTTTTTTTTTTTAATGGGGAAAACCTTCCATCCTTTCCCTCCACTCTTATTATAGGTTTTTTTTTAATGTATCACATAAAACCCCATCCAGTGGATTGAAGTTAATGGCACAGAACTTTATCCAGGCTCTGTGAGTTTGATGTTCATGGACTGATCTGTGTTGGACAAACAGGCGACCGTCTGACGACAAAACGAACAGAAGATGATATCTGGTTAAAAGGGGAAATGACGGCCATTACCTCTGATTTCATAGGCGGTCGGTGAAATACGGAAACTTTTTCCAAGTTGGAAGATGATGAAGTCATTTTTCAGGGGGACGACTCAACTTTACCTCTCTCTAATAAAAACATATCAGTTTTTATAGCACAGCCACCAAACTGAAAAAAAGGCCTGATAGAGGATGAATGGTTATCCCATTGGTCCCTTTTACACTTTCTTTCATCTTAAAAGCTATAGAAGAGGAAGAAATGCTCTTTGTCTCATTTGCTTATTGTTAGTTTAATAGGTGTTATTTATCCAAATAAAAGAAAATAAAGCAAGTCATTCCACATGTTTCTGAACTTACTAACAGGTTTTTGCTCCCTTTAGATCCCTTAAATCCTGGAAGCGTGGATCTCCACAGCAGCGACTGGGACGATAAAACCATCACCAGTGCTTTGAAGTTCTACCTGAGGTGCGTTTGTTTGTGTACGGCCAGAACTAAAATCCACAGAGGTTTACTGTCGGTTAATTACCTTTCATTCGGTCACGTGTCATCTCATTTGAAAATGTTTCCACTTGTGCATTTTGCGAGCCGTTGGAGGTGCTAATAAATTAGATTTCTTCCAGGAATCTGTTTTACAAAGGGCTCGCTCTTTCACTTTTAGTTTGACTATTTAATGAGTGGATTCCTGTTTTATTTTTATCTTTGATGGTTTGATTGACGTTCTCCGTGTGTTTTCTTGCCCCCCCCCCCCCAACATCGTATCTGCAGGAGTCTCTCCGAACCCCTAATGACCTACGATCTGCACAGAGAACTCATGAACGCTGCAAGTAAGACATGTTTGGGAGCTTTTCCTTTTGCTGGGATCTGTGTGAAGAGGTTACAGCCTCTAAAGCCCTAAAGTTGAATTATGTTGCATAGTACCAGTACAGTCCAACTGTTTCTCTGCAAAATATTTGATCTCGCAGTTTATAGAAAGGGTGGAAACTCAAGACAGATTTACAAGCTTACTTCCCCCCCCTTTTTTTTTTTTTTTGCTTTTTCTTTAACACGGCCGGCTGGAAAAAACATCTTAGCTCTGGAAATAAAAGAGGCGTTTGTAAATCAATACAGTGCGTGCTGCAGGCTGAGGATGAGGAGATCTGAGTCTTTATTTACACTGTCTGTTGCTACATTTTTGTGAACCTGAGAACACGATATGTTTATTGGCATCAGCCTCATTATGTCAGGATGTTGCGTTAAAGGCACAGGGGAATGCCCTTCCTTACCCACATACGGCTCTCTTCACTACGTATCCTGACAGTTTGAAGACTTTATTTTATTGGCTTTATACTGTTACAGTGGGTGGTCAGGCTGTGCTACATTTAACTTTGCAATTAAGTGAAAACTGTATGATTTACCTGACTGAGCTTTTTTTAAGGATTAAACCTCTTTCACCAAGATTTTAGCCTTATCAGAATTTGGCACAAGGTATTTTGGGCGCCGGGCGTGAGCTTGATGCTTACACGGGTTTTATACAGTTTGAACAGAGATTCAGACCTCTGGGATTCTGGCTTATAATATTTTCAATATCATTTATCAAATTTAAATAAGACCCAAACCTACTTTTTTGCTTTTTCTGTCATGTTATTTAAAGCTGCCATTATTATTTAGTGACTAAAAACTGACTTTTTTTATGTACGTTTATGTATTGGCAGTGCTCTGTAAACTCATGCAACCGCTGTAGAGTCATGTCATTTCGATGAGTCGCTGTGCTGCACATGATTCCCCTCATGATAGATCATCACCTCACTCTAAAAACAGTGGTCAAAGAGACACAGATAGTTCAGTGAATCCCTGTTGGCTTTAGCTCCTGCAGAAAACACAGGGATAGATAAAAATCTATATTTTCATTTCAAGCCATAAGTTTGCATGTGAAAGCTGAATTGATATTAGAATTTTAATAACAGATCTTTTTATTTTATTTTCTTTGATGACTTAAGGATTATACAATTAACAAAGTCAGAGTATTACTAAAAAAACAGTAGTATGACATGGCAAAACAATACATTATGTTGAATACTGACAGTATGATAATATTGGCTTTTCTTATCTACCATTATCAGGATGACCACATCAACAGATTTAGCATATTTTAAAACCATATATAAAAGACAGAATAAGTGATTGTAAAAAAAAAAAAAAAAAGCATTATCATGTACTATATTTGCATTACAGCTAATGCTAAAAAGTAAACAAATCTATTCATGGGTGGATGCAAAACGTTAGGAAGCACATGGAGTTTGCTGACAGTTGTTGTAAATTACTTATTAAAGAAACTAATCATTTAAACATAATTTTTACGTATTCAGACACAATACTGGTGCATCTGATTAAGGAAGAATATTCTTGGAAATACGACCTATTTTTTAAATGAATTGAAAGGGTGATACTCATATTTTATATTAAAGAGACATTAAACATAGGTTTAAATAATGTAAAATTATAAAATCTAAAATGATGTTATTGCTAAACAGAGTTTTAAAGCAAGGGGTCGGAGCAGCATTTATTTGTCTGCCATCCAAAGCTGTTTTACAGACGTTGTGGCATTGATTTTAATTTCATCCACTGTGCTGCTTTAGAACAAAAACTAAATGAAATGCAGATTATCCAGACAGGATCTATATTATAACCTGCTGGGCTATAAATGTTATAATTCCACCTGTGTCCTTTAGCTTTTAGACGTTTCCCTTTAGTCTACACACCAGAATTAAATGTGTTGTTACAGAGGTGGGGACTCTAGTCACTTGACTTGGTCTCGAGTCATTCATATTATGACTTTAGACTTATGTTGAAAAAATGCATTGAGATTTGGACTTTTACATCAGCAATTAGAGATTTGAGTTTGACTTAATCTGATTACTTGAAACTTCTTGATTTTACCTAAACCTAAATTCATTATTTAGGCCTGAATACTGGATCCATGTCAGGGAGCAAAACAGTTTATAACAACCTCAGCTGGTTCTATGGTGGAAGAAACATCCAGGACAGAAATAACCTTGTTATGACATTTAGCTCAGTGGTTTTTCAGTGCAAATCCACTTTAAATTCAAGCTTGTTTATTTTATTCTCTTTTTTTAATATTAATTTGTATTTTTTTTGTGACCGTTCCATCTGTAAAGAAATGCTTTTAATTATTATTTTGTTAAATAATTGCTGCACTTACCTTCCAGTCATTTTATAATGATTTGAAATTACTTTTATGTTGTGTGCCACAGAATCTGATAATCTGGATTTTCGACTTAGTGAAATTCATTCACTCGTCTACAAACTGCCAGAGAAGAACCGTGACATGTTGGAGAAGCTTATTAAGCACTTAGTAAAGTAAGTCCAAGCTGGGTTCATAGTGTTGTTTTTACCGTTTCCAGGGAAACAGTTTCTCTCTTTCTGAAGTGAGCTCATACTTTTTTTTTTGTCACCACCTGGCTTGAGTTACAGTGTATTTAACCCCCCTCTGGCATGATGTTGACAGCGTGTGCAGCCACAGTGATGAAAACCTGATGACTCCCTCCAACATGGCCGTTATCTTCGGGCCCACTCTCATGAGAGCGAAGGAGGAGACGGTGGCAGCCATGCTTGATATCAAGTTCCAAAACATTGTGGTTGAGATTCTGATCGAGGACTACAAAAAGGTACAACCAAGGCAAACATGATCAACTAACAAGGACTATTCAGTTTTTTTTATTTTATTTATTTTTCTTTCTTTTTTTTATTGCTTCCATATGTGTTTGATAAATCTTGTTAGAAGATTAGAGCTGTTATTACATGTGGTTTGTTCTTGGTTAACGAGGATCCGTTGGTGGCCATATTGTTGTCCAAGCAGTTGCCAGGACTGAAAACGGAAAACAGCCGAGTTCAGTTTGTGAAGTTCGATTATTAAAGAAATGTTTCAAAGATTTATATCATTTAAAAAAATCATATTTAATTCAGAGGAGTTGTTTAGGTTTTATCAATATTTCCAAATGTTTTAAAGTCTTGACTTGGTAAAGTATTCACACCCCTGGAATTTCTCCCACATTTGTTTTCTATCTGTTTAATGGCTTTTATAGGTTGCTATTGTGAAATTAAGAGAAATAGGTTTTGAACATTTCTACAAATAAGTCTTTAAATAAAATCAGGTACTCTGCTCCAAAAATCTGCTCTTTATGGCATGAACAGCTTGTTAAAACACAAAGACTCATTTATAGTTTGCTTCTGACAAACGTGGACAAAGGTGATCAAGTCAAACGAGACAAAGAGGAAACTTTAAGGTCCATTTGAATAACTGTACGTCGAGGGAAGGTCCATGCCAGGGCGATCAACCGATACACACGTGGGAAACCAGTTCTTATCAACTGATTCCTGCAAATCAGCTAATGTGAAAGCGCCAAACTTTTTATTTATATTTAAGAGCACTTCCTAATTTATTGCTGAAACAAGTTTCTATTGTTTTTTTATATAAAATACAATGGGAACATTGAAGGTATTTTGTGACCTTTATAAAACTTGAGTTTCATTTACAAAAAAAATGTGTATAAACCAGATTTGGAATTGGCAAGTCAGACTTTTTAAGGATCAATGCTCGGCCAGAGTGCTGCCATCGGTGCTCCTATCCTTTAACATTTTGTGGCATTTATTCAGATAACTGTTATAGTTAATTATAAAAATAGTACTTAAAATCTACATTGTTAATAAAGTGCACCGTAGGACAACAGTGACAATGAGATGGCAGTTTAATTTCTCATCTGTGCACAATTACTGTATTTAATTACATTTTAGACATTTTGATATTGCTTGCCACTCCCATTAAACCATCAGTAAAACACATAATACAAGTAGCAGTTTCTCCATATTTACTGCTATAGCATTTCTAAACTACACCTCAAAGTTGTAGCATTATGCAAAGCAAAGTCAGCATTATGCAACTTTTTTGGACTTAGCTATGTTAAATGTAACAAGGTACATGTGGGCTCCTGAATTGGGCAAATTGTAGCTCCTACTTCCTTTTCCTAACTCGTGTCCCTTTACCTTCCCAGGGTCAATAGTAAAAACTCTATGCAGGTTAGGAAAGGAGCTCTGCAATGCTGTGCTTAATTGATTTCCAGACCTGCATCAGCTTTACAGACGTCGTTATGCGACAGACATGCTGGTAGATGATGCTGGTCAGATTAGAACTACAGCCCTTTCAGAAAAGCAGTACTATGCAGCCATGTTCACACAGGACTGACCATAGTTACCGCTCATGCTCTTCTCCTTTGGCCTAAGAATCATTACCAATTTGCCCAATTTGGATGTAGCCAGCTTTCTATTTTTCATTTAAATCTCAACATAAACCAAAGTCTATGGCCAAGGCCTTTAATATATGACTAAAGTGCAAAACTTTAGCAGTTTTCATTATGTTTAAGCCCTTTACCTTGTGCTCCAGCTGGAAGGAGCTGAAAAAGCAGCCCCTGATCCAAGGAGCTGCTTTAACCTTTTATATGATTGCAGATCTTCACCTGCATGCCGGAGGACAGCACCTCGCCACCTATCCCTCCTCCACGGATCACGCCAAGAAAGAGGCAGCCAATCACCATCTCCAAGCGGCCGGCTCGCGTTTACCAAGCTCTTAGTCACACGCCGCAGCAGCACGCAGAGAGTAATTATCATCTGACCTGATTGTTGTCACCCTCCTCCTTATCCCATCCTCCCTGTGCTGAGCTTACAGTGGATTGTTTAGAAAGTTTTGTTGTTTTTCTCCCAACTTTTTAATTTCAATTTTTTTTTATGTAAAGACCACCGCTTAAATGCAGGGTCATTTCTTGACATTTCATAAATGGGATTCATTGAAGTGTGTTTATTTGTTCCAGTAATTATCACAAATTGCAAAACATGGAACCAGTTTGCCAATTGAAATTCGTTTTTTCCCCGTTTCCTTTTAATGTTAATAGAAAAGCATGTGAAATTTTTGAATAGCTCATTTGTCACACAAATAAAGATATCCACTGTTCATTTTTATCCCTAAAAAGTCCTTTTTTCTTCCCTCAGAGTAAATCATGTCCTTTTCTGTCGGTTTGAACCCCCTGTGTTGCTTCAAACTGAAAGAAAACGTCAGTTGACCTTTGCTCGCATTCTGGCACAGAAATGCCGCTCTTCTTTCCTTTGTTGGCGTTTTTACTGTTTACTTGCAGATTTTCCTGGACTTAAAGTTTAGGTATTTTGTACATGTGCAAATAATTTCCCTGCAGTACAGTGCTTAACTGTTTGCTTACATTAAACTTTACACCCGTCCGTCCAAACCCAAGGTAATTTCTGGATTTTACATTTCATTAGGTGCGCTTCCCAGCAGTAAACATTCACAGTTAACGGCGGTGTAAAGCTGCAGGGCTGTTAAAGCTGTTTGTTTGCAACAGATGGTCAGAAAGACACCTCAAACGTGGATGGGGACGTCTCGGCGAGCCCCAAGCCCATAAAGCCGGCGAAACCTGTGAGCTGTGCCCCGCTCCCCCCCAGAGAACCTCCGTCGAGGCAAGCAGGGATGCGGAGACCGGCCAACCGCCAGGACAGGCAAGCCGACTCGGATGCTGAGAGGTCCTGTGATGCGGGGCAAAAGCCAGACTCTTCCCCAGCAGCCAATGGGGATTCTTGGGTCCGCTTGAACAGGGTGCCGTCGTTCCAACGTCAAAAAGCTCCTCTGAAGGGAACGCCAGCCAACCCAGAAGGTACAAAGAGCCTGCATTTCATTAAAATGTTCAGTCATATCAACTTTACAATATATGACTAAATGAATCGATAAATGCTGTTTTATAGAGAATATTATCCCATTTATCCCTTAAAGATAACAGATTACCTTCCCTGTGTTTGTGTGTGTATGTGAGTAATGCTTTCATAATCTTATTTCTCATGACTTATAACTAGGGCACTAAAAGAAAATTAGACCAAACTCTTATCCTTAGTAAAAAAAATTAAAAAAAAATCACATTTTTTGTAAGCGTATAAGTAAAAGTTTTTTTTAACATGCTTCTTCTGACTGGAGGTAATAATTGGGGCAGAAAAGTCAGATTCCTGACATGGAGGGAGCTAAAGTTTAGGGCCATGGAAAGGAGGCCTTCCCGCCTTTACAGAGTTGTTGCTCACGCCCAAAAGAAAAATAGTCAAAATATCAGCGCAAAAAAAGCTAAAGGCTGGTCAAACGGTGTGAAGAGACAATGAAATCTAAACCTGGCATGGATATGAATAACTTGGAGCTCATCTGTTTAGGCTCCACCTCATCTGGTGCTTTCACGTTGTTGTCATTCCAACTGCTCAACATTTTTTCTTTACTTTACTGGAAAGCCAAAAGGAGGCTTTCCTCTTGGATGGAGTTGCGATGCCCCGCTGCTGTGAATTGAGGCTACATCACTATGCTGCTACCAACACATCTGGATGTAGGGACTCCTCTCCCGATGTGTAGGCTTGCATCACTTTGTTAATCACAAAGTTAACAGCTGGTCTGTGCCACATGTTTGATGATTGTTTAGGAGGTTCCTTGTTTTTTTTGTAAACAGTTTGAAGTTGTTGTTTTTTTTTTTTGGCCCTGTAAGGTGGAGATTGTTCATCTTTCCTTCAGGTATTTTGCCTTTAAGTCTGGAGAACTTTGAAAATGGAGATTTGCAAAGACTGCTTTTATCTAACGGTGGGAAGATACTCGAGAACTGCGATTAAGTTCCAAAGTATTGTGACCTGATTTAGATTTAAAATTAGTTTTAAGTTTGTGTCTTATGCAAGATGACGGGCATCTCTTGGAAAATTTTAAAGAATGGATAAAATGAGTCGCAAATCAATAAAAAAAAATATATGGAAGAAAAGGCTTTGCAAAAATCCTAATACCATCTTTAATCATCAGAGCAAAAAATATTTAATAACAAAACATTATCAACACTTTGGAAATCCGGCTTTTATTAGTTTTGATTTGTTTTAAACATATTTACTAAGAAGCTCCAAGGTTTTAATTATGATTTTCTGTTTTTTGGTGGGTTGATTTCTTTGTGTGCATCAAAGATTTTGACAAGACTCTTTGCCTTGCACTACTGGTAACCCTGAAAAGGTAATTTGTTTATTTTCTGTATTTATCTTTGTTTGCATTTTTGATTTAATTTTAGTTTTAATTCTTTTCTTTGATTTTGTTATTGAGCGGCACCCTGCTAAGATAATTTTGTTCCACCTCATGTTTTAACTTGTGTGAAATGACAATACAAACCCATTGAGTCCTTGAAAAACAAAGACTCTATTTAGACTTGGCTCTAAAGAATCGAGCCACAACTCATTTGGACGTGGTAAACTTTCTTTGTTAAAGTCGAGGGTGAAATAAGCAGAGACAAGTTTAGATAATTAGCAAACCAATAGAAATGTATGCCTGTCATATTGCATTGGTGTTATCTTCATGATGTAACACAAGTTAACCTCTTCAAAATAAAAGCACTTATAAATAAGTTACAAATATTTATCCATTTACAGACAACCACTTTTTTTTTCTTTTTTTTTTGCAGCCTTTGCAATATTTCTCATTTATCTAGCCTTTGATTGGTTGGACGATTGCTTGATTTCTTCTCATTTAATTTGCAAGGAGACCTCCCAAAACTGCAAAGTGCGCCAAAGCTGCAGGTGTATTTATTTTTTTCTGAGCACAAAAAGCCAAAAGCTATGAAGCTTTTTTTTGTGGTTTTCACCCTCATGGTTTAATTGAACCTTTGCCTCTCATCAGCGGTGTAGCTCATATCATCATCCCTGTCAGGAAGTGAAATAAGCTCTGACGTGGCTGCTGTACATATCAAACTACTTCTTTTTTTATTGCCTGCTGATTTCCACACTTACAGACGATTTGTGTTGTTTATGTGTTCTCTCTTAGGAACTTCTGATGGTTTGGTCAGAACAAAGTCTGCAGACAAACATCCCATTTGTCGACCCCCTATCAGGCCCCCGGAGCCCCCCTCCAGAAGCCCCGCTCCACAAAAGCTCCCAGTAGCAGCCAGCAGTGAGAGCACACCTACATCCTAGTGAGTACCTTCACTAAATCCCCGCCCTCATGCTTTCATGTTAATTAAAAACAGGAGTCTCAGAAAACTTCAACTCTAGACTTAAAATCGTTAGCATGAAAAGCTTGATGGAGCACACATTAAACTCACCTACATGGAAGTTCTGGTTTTGCAGAATCAAAACATTTCAAAGATTTTTTCATTATCTAGATCTAAAAACAACGGTATCCTTTTTTAAACTGGATTTACATTTTGGAGAGAATGTTTAATAACCACAGTGTATGTATGCATATTTACTAAAATATGTAGAGTCAATTTATTTGAGCAGTTTATCGTACTTATTACTGTATGTTTTTCATGTTACTTTCATAAATTTTGTTTGAATAATCTAATATTCTATTTTATGATTAAGGTATAAAGAGGAGTCTTTTTCCTCTTCAATAATGCCAAAAAAGTCTGGAAAAGTTCAAACTATGAAAACAAGTCTGAATTATAACCACAAGTTTAGTGCAGGTCATTGATTGCTTTGGTCAGTTAAGGGTAACTAAGGGTTTGTTTTTTGTTTGTTTGTTTTTTTGCAACAAACACTCTAAATCAGTCTGATGTGAAACAAAAGAAAGATGTTTTCAAAAGAACTTCATGCTACCTGTAAAGTACAGTGATGGATCTGTGATACTGTGGGCCTTTTTTAAGTTTAGAGAAACCTGCTGAAAACCTTTTTTAGACATTTTAGATAAAAAAAAAACAAAAAAAACTGATGTCCTTTGGCTATAAAAATGAAAATGCATAGATTAATACATTAAAACGTGATCAAACATTAAATGAAAAACTCCGTCTGTATTATATGATCTAAAACATGGGGCCAAATCAAAGGAAAAAAGGTTCCTTGCACACAAACAAATACTTTCTTAAAGGTATAGTGGAGGATGTTCTTTTTTTCTTGTGGATGAGCGAAATAAGTGCTCCTCCTAATTGTCAATCGTTCTGGTGATATGTTTACGTAAGGCCGTCCTATGTGCTCGTCCCCATTTTCATTTACCGGTGGTGAGTCTGACATAGTGAAAAATCGCAAATCTTCTTTTGGAAAGCTTGTTTGAGCGATACATACAGTGACTTTTAAACAGAGGGTGCACAAGGAGAAATGAGCTTGTTCATGCTCTCACACGTGTTCAATATGCGTTCCCTCTCGGGAGTGGGTACAGGGTTGTGCATGTGCATTTTTTTTTTAAGTAGAGAGTGCGAGTCTTTTAAAAAATTCTGGAAAATCCCCAATTATATCTTTAAGATGACTATTATGATTAATGGCCCTAATAATGAGATTCACTCAGTTTTTTTTTTTAGAGTTAATACTTTTTTAAATTGCAGGGATTTTTTTCCCCATCAAAGTTGGAATTGTTTAAAATAATCAGTTTGGAATCATTTTCCTGCAATAAAATGTAGATTAAATTTTTTTCTTGTTTGTTGTTAAATGGACCTTAATAAATAATATATTTTTAGACCTCTTCCCACCATTTGTCACGTTAAACACGGCATTAGATAGCTTCTTATCTTCTGGATATAAGATTTTATATCAGCAGGTTCCCACTGTTCTGCACCCGCACATTTAATTTTTTTCTGTCGCTCTGCTTCAGTCTCTAACACGCCATCTCCCTTTTGTTTTCCAGTGTTGCATCAAAGACCAAATTTTTTGAGAATGCCTCCAGAAAAGTTGTCAGGTTTGTAAAAAAAAAATAAAAATAAAAAACCTTTTCTTTCAATTTTATAAGTCACTTGCCCTAGCAGATATATGTTTCTTGTTGATTTCACTGTATCTATGTTTGTCAAGGATTTGAATTCCTATTATATGCATCAGCACTAAGATTTTAAGTCATTTAACTAAGTGCATAAATGCTAATTGCCCCATATTATCAGGATTTTCCATGCTATGGGCTGTTGTTTAGAACATAAAATCTGTCTTCATTCTGGACTTATTTAGATGCCCAGACTCCCACGTGATAGGAGTGTGTGTGTCGGTTTGATATCCTAATGGGAGATTAAAACTGATTGCACACCAGCCCCTTGAGACCTTCTATAACTGCAGAGGTCTATGTAGGTCCAGATTGCAGATTGCAAATTAGGACTCGGCTTCTCAGGGAAAGAATAAAATTAAGTTAAAGCTCTGTTAAGCAGTGTTTTCTCTGAGTTAATGACTTAGGCCTGGTGTGCGTGTGAAACGGCATAACACTTTAGGTAGTTTTATGTGCATTGTAAGTGTTCCCTTACACATGGGTCCTTTGATTTTTTTTTTTTTCTTTTCCCTTTTTTTTGACTCATGCAAGATCCCTTTGCTCATGATGTAGTGGAGTCTGTGTGATGTGGAAATGGACACATCTGCTCTTTTATGATTTGCATGGCTGAGCCAATTCAAGGCCCCTGCTGTCTGCCCAGTGCAGGCACCGATGCATGCTGTAAACGAAGAATGTGGGAGTTTTATCAAAGAGAGCCCATGTCTTTGGTGTTCTTTCAATGGTATTCCCCTTAATTAGGTTGTCTAAAGATTACGCGAACCTTTCCCCCGCGAAAAAATTGTAGCATAGGCTCAATTAAGTTCTGATTTTAGACGATGGATATGCAGATGGTGTCAGAAATCTCTCTTTCTACCTGAACGAAATTTTCTTTGCTGAAAACTGTACCTCTCAAATGTTTGTTTTTTTCTGCTTCTTTACTTTAGTCCTCCAAATTCTCCACCATCATCATCAAAGACAAATGTGAAAAAAGAGGTGAGTTTTCCACAGATTTTCATTCGCGTCCACTGATGGGCTGGCATAAAATTTATATGGCATTGTTTTCATTGTATTTTTGATTTCTTTTTATTTGCCGTAAATGCAATAAAACAAATTTGAATCTATTTTCATCACACTGGAAAAAAATCTAAATCTAGATGAGTAATTTTTTCTTAAAATAAGTGCACTTGTTCTTAGATTGAGGAGGTAAAAGAGACATTTTGACAATAGAACAAGACAATTTACACTTAAAATAAAAAAAACACAATTGTATTTCCTTATTTCAAGTTCATATTATCTAATTATTTTATTTTAAGAGTAAAAATACTAATTCCATTGCCAAACTTTCATTCTCATCTCATTTACCTACTCAAATTAAGGGTAAATAAACTTAATTTAAGACATTTTTACTTATTTCTAGATCGTTTTTCCAGTGAGCTTATACTGTCAAGGATATCCCATTCTTCAGAGCTTGTATTACCAAATTCGGGGTTCCTAATCAACCAGTATGAGATGATGGGATCCTTCACAGAAATAATAAACTTTGATACTAAAGTACTGCAATATATAAAATCATCACTCAAAGGAGAAAACCAACTAGTTTAATTGTTGATGGCATTTGGTTTAAGAGTCAATTCTGGTACTATTTTGTGGGTCAGAAGCTGTAAGGTTTTTAAAGCATTTTCGTTTTCCACGGGCTCCACTCAGCCTGGTTCTACTCCACCCATCCAATTTCCAAAGGTTTCACTGCTTTTTTCTTATAAATAAAGCTGTAGTTTGCATTTAAAGCTTAATGTGCACAATATAAGTCTTTTCTATCACTTCAGAAATTGTGGAACAACATTAGTGACACAAGTTAACTTTAACTAATTGATTAGCCTGGTAAGCAGCCTTAGTAATGCTTTCCAATCGATCTATCAGTCGATTGATCTATCAATCCTTTTTCCTTTTTTAGCCGTCTGAAGTCCAGGGGTCACTGATCAATTTTATTTAATGGTTACCAATGACAACCAGTGTGTAGAAAACAAAACTGTTTAACAGGCAGAAATCCATCTGTTGGTGAGTGAGGTAGAGAGTTGGATAGTTATGCTTGTTAGCAACAGTGGTGGCGTGAGTAAATAAAAAGAAATAGGAACTGAGACAGAGTGTGATATGGACTGAATATATTAACAAAGACGTCCAAGACAAGGCATCCAATCGCGCTTCTTCCAGCCTGTATTATCTAAGCTTTATGAATAAATTGACAAAATTATTTAGTTCCTAAAAGTTGCTTCAGGCAAAGAGTTAAGAAATTATTGACTATGTGTAACAGCTGTGGGGGAATTTGAATTGGCAGAGTCGAAAAAGGAATCAGAGAGTGATTAAAAGCTTTTATTACTTAATAAAGTGAAAAGCCTAAAATCTGGATAAGCTATCCACGCAGCTATCTATGAGTTTTAATACGGCTAAAAATGGCCTATTATACGTAGATGTTTCCGATTATCTTGGGCTTCAATAAACTGCGGCTTTTGAATTTTTCACCCATATTATATAATTAGTGCCCCTAAGTTTTAATCCATACCATTAAATGCTGATAAACAGGAGGTGAGTGCGTGAATCTGGTGCGTGAAACATTCGGCCCCATTCAGCCCATAGATCTGGGCACAATGATGTATGAAGTCTGATCAGCTGATAAACTAGTCATTATCATGGGACAGGAAATCTTGACGATCCCTGAAACGGCATCAGGATTCACCCGAGCACAATTTCGCACGACTGTCACAGCGATATTAAAATGTTTACAGCAATCATTGTAAATGCCTCACACACCTTGTTTCATTTATGTGTGTATTTGTGATACGACTCAACATGTTACCCTTTGGAAAAAGTTAAGAAAACATTTTATTGTGTGCTTTTAATTTATTCAGACCTTATCAATATGACAGGTCCTCAACGTCTCAGTGGTTCAGTGCTAGCATGAGCTAAACTTCGATATTGGACGATTATGATGACGTCAATCTATGATGTTTTATTTAAAGTGATACTGAGTCTAAGGGGAATTAATCTGTCCTCCAATCTTCTCCTCGCCGTCTCTGTAGCAGTTTTCCCATTTTCTTCAAAATATGTTCATGTAGAGGTCACAGGTGGCCTGAGGGGGATGCACCTTTTCACGCAGTTTGCTTTGGATTTATCTCAACCTTTGCATTAGGTCTGGAACGATTCATCATGATTAATTAATTATTTAAATAATCGTCTAGTAATTTTTATTCTGGTTTATACTCGGAAACCAGGACATCCGCTTTTGTGTCGCAGTCTACGCAGATATGCCCCCCCTTCCGCAGACACTCTGGTGCACCTCTCCAAAATTGTAGGTGACCACAGACAGCTCAGCAAAAAGGAGGGCTCTGATTGGTCAAACCTACATCCAGTCTACACTATGGGCCGGATTTATCAATTTTGCGTGCTTACGTACGCATCCCCGCAGCATTGGCATGTTGCTCCACAGGCGCAGGAGGGAGGTCGGGTTCTCCGGTAGGGCTTCAGGGCGACATGGCATTTAGAACGTCGGACAGTACTTCTGAAAAACGAGATTGGGAGATCCCAGCTCGCTGCAACCGTACGCTGGAATGACCCAGATGCAAAAAAGTGCAATGTTGCAAGGAGTTTTGTGATATCTGGTATTGCGTGGGTCCTCCTTGTGGCTGGCTCCAAATCCATTCGGAGTTCCCCCAACAGCTCCAAAATGGCAATGCTGGATAAACGATATGTTTTGATGATCGTTTCCTTGTTCATTCCAAAAATATTCACACGGAGTGAAAAAATGCGTTCTCTGCGTCTCCTTGCTTCATTTCCATGTCTCCTTCTTGCGACAATAACCGCTGCCATGTGTGCGCAATTACGCATACAGACCATTTGCACCTTCTTTTGAAACGTGTTAAATATAGAGTCAGATACCGTTAGCAAAATTGCTTTCAGGTTTGATAAATCACTTTGCGAGTGCTAAATTAATATATTTACATGTTCTCCTCCATCAAGACGCACTTTTGCGTGTAAACGCCCTATATTGCATATTCATTGCAGAAAAAGTACTAAATGGATAAGAGGCGCTATTTAGCACGTTTTAAAGACCAAATCCTTTTAGCACGCTGTTGATAAATCAGTTTGTATATTTTTTAAGCGTGCGCAGTGAAATAGCTCACGTTTTTATACACGCAAACCTTTGATAGATCCGGCCCTATGTGTATTTTTTTTGTTTGGTACCTTACTGGCTTGTTATTGTGGAAAACGACCAGCTAGAAGAGCGAGGTGCGTGAGCATCCTCGCTCTTTTTCGCCCTCATGTCCCTCCATTGTCGCACAAACTTCCCCTTTGCGTTTTTCCACTTCCTCACCTCCTCGGCCGTATCTAGACCCACAGCTAGTTCCTGATTGTCCCTCTTGCGTTGTGGCATGGAATAACATAGCGCAGACCACCCTTCAATATTGGGCATAAATCAAAAATATCTGCGTCATACCTGCGACAAACTCACTGCGACACGCTGCTGCGGGAGTATAACCAGCCCTTTAGTAATCTATTAATCGTTAACTGGAGTATAGAGACTAAAATGCCTTTAGCTGACAGAGGAACCCACTTAGAGCAGTAACTATAGCAAAAAATGTGGAAAAAATATTGATATTTTAATTTAAGATAACAAAAACCTTTTCGTCTGTCAAAATGCTCTATCCAGAACTCCTCAAGTGGAAAAGTTTTCATTTCACCTGGTTTAACTTTGCAAAAAAATTCTTTCCATCAATGAATTACCGGTGAAAAAATTTTCAACACATCAGCCCTACTTTGCATGGAAAGGGACTTGCGTAAATTTAAAAAGCTCGATATGAGACCTCCGGGGAACACAAAATATTGTGTTTATTGTTGACTTGCTAACTTTCATTGCGTGTTTAGTTAACCGACAGAGATGCTATCTGGGTTTGTTACAAACATGTCACACCAGAATTGGATTAAAAGCATGAAAGGTGGTGTCCCTCTCTTATATAAGTGTTTTTTTTTTTTTTTTTTTTACTGGTGGACAAATTTACAAACAGGCTGTTTTTTTTTTCCTATTTATTCCCTTTTATAAGCGGGGGGGGATTCCCTTCCTTTAGCCATGAACAACAGCTGACACTTGAATCACACCTCCACAGGAACAGGTTAAAAAGAGTGAGAGCTACTTCACATACAACCGGATAAAACTCCTCACTGCCACCAACATGTCAATAAAAGGAGTTTAAAGTGCAAAAGCGGTAGTACGCAAAGTCCTAGTGGTTTGGGGACTTTGAAACCAGCTCATGCTTAGTTAAACCACTGTTAATGTGGTTTGTGGCAATCTGAGTCGCTCTCTGTAATGTCTGCAGTTGAAGCCACCACTACTGATAAAGACTGGTTTGAAACGTGGCGAGAAAAGATCCCTTGACACATGTTTGTGCTTTTTCTGTTTTTAACTTTAAAAAAGGAATATCCTCTCCGTATGCTGCAAAGCAATCATTATACATGTAGTGATGTATTTATTGCCCAGCCATGCTTTAGTCCTACCAAGAGTGTCTTTTTATCTCATAATCTGCAAAACATACAGCCTTCTGTTCATACTTGAGACATGTCTGTTTTGTTTCCCCCAGAACTGAAGTTAAAAATGTGGAATGGTGGAGAACCTCGACACATAGCTGCACAGCGGGCAGAGGAGAGTCCCTGCTGAGAAAATTAGATTGTAAGAGAAAGTAACTTCTGTCAGAGCTCAATGGATTTGCTTGGGTTCCAGTTGAATATCAGAGGTGTGAGTGGTGTTGTAAGGAAACACTGTTGGCAGAACAACAGACTCTGTTTGGTCGTCATTCTCCACAAGTGTCGAGTTGTTCATCCCATTTACTCCTTTTCACAGTTGTGATTCGCTTTAATTCCTTTTTTTTTCCCCCGCTGTTACTTGTATAAAGTAGCCACATATGACTTGCAATGCTAACAGTCGGTCTTAGCAGTGTGAAGTAGCTGATCCGAACACGTGATCTAAACCGTAGTCAATTAGTAATGTAATGTATTATTTTATATGTTTTATAAAATTATAAATCAAAGTTATTTGGTGCGATTTTAGGCGAGAAAGTTAATTTTGTCTTTTTTCGTCAGTATTAAAACATGCATCATTGAAAGGGCAATAATGAGAAACCTTTTAACTTCTGGCTCAAAGCTGGGGGAAAATTCTGTTTTAAATCTAATTAATCGAGAAGCTATGATGGTTTTTTTGTTTTACTGACAGTTTTATAGAAAACCTGGGTACCCTGTGTGTATTAGCTAATTTCTTACCTGCTTTAGGTATGTCAGGTTGTGGGGGAGACTCCTCAAAATGTTTCTTTTACGTGAAATGATTAGAATTACATCCAATGTAATCATGCAGAATGTGAGTTTGTGAGAACAGCACTCCAATGTCTTATTGTTTCTGTTCTTAATGTTTACTTCATTTGTTTTTTGATGACTCGAATTGAAATTGTTTTTAGAAAATAAAGTATGAACAGAGAAGGATCTTCAAATGACTCAGAGGTACAGTTTATTTTTCTGAAGAGCTGTTTCATCATGTGCTGATGTCTTTGCTGAAAGGTCCACTTGTCCTTTCACTTGATTCCCTCACAACCTCTACGTCGTTTATCAGTTAGGCTGCTTTTCAGATTTGCCAGGCTCAGTTTAGCTCAAGTCATTTTCAGTCTTTACAGGCCTGTAAAATAATGTGGTAGACCCATTTCCCACATGTGCAAGCCATCTTGGAAGTATTTTTGCTTTTGCTGGTAGGGAGAGATATACTTGCTGAGGTTTGAAAAAAAACAGCCATTTATTTATTTTTCATAGTGTGATTTTTAGTGTCGCTTCAAATGAGACAGTTAACAAAGTTATAGCTGTTTTGGTTTGGCCACAAATAAGCCTAGAATCTTTGCTTATATGGGCCACATTTTGTGAGTAAAAATATGATGAAGTAAATAATATAGCTTTAAAAGCTTTAGGTTGAATTAATGTTTTCCTGTTGTTGTGAATTTCTATTTAGAGTAATTTAATCTGTAAAAAGCTTGAGTTATTCAAAAAGGTGTTAGTGCCAAACCCTCTAATAAGTTTTCCTGTTAAAAACTGATAAATGTATTAAAACACAATGTTAAACAGCATTATTTAAACAATAAAAATTAGGAAAGTTTCAACTAATAAAGGTCAAGTTACACTCTTATATTAAATAATTACAGGAAGAAAAGCCCCAAACGATCTCTGTGTGATTAAATCATGTTTTGTGTTACTATTTTGTCTAAAGACAGATAGCTGATCCAATTTTCTTCTTGCATAAGTTGAATTATTTTGTTTAAAATGCCTATAGAGCGGAAGATTCCCTTTTACTGTTTTGGACAGAGGTAGTCCCATAGCCTCACTCTTCCACCACCCTACTTCACAGTTAAGTCTATTGAAACATTATTAATTATTATTGGGGATGTAATTTTCTCACCTCTCTTTGCTTCTCTGACTTTGATAATCACTGGAAAAACAACCTGTATTACCATTTTACTCATTTTTAATTTTAACATAATTTAACATTAATGATAACCTGTGAAAGATTCAGGTTGCCAGACTGGATTAGTCTGAAAAACATGAATCTGTCTGCTAACAATGCTTTTGGCCTTTAAGTACCGCACAGTACAGAAACTCATGCAAACACACTAAATGATGCAGATTTCTTGCTACTTTTGGAAATAAAATGTGGTAGCCTCTTCTTTAGGCCATAAAAATAGATGGCTGTGTTCACAGAGAATGCCAGTGCCAACATGCTTGCACGCTCATCATTACAATGACGATTTTGAGACTGAATTTATGTCCATCCCGCCTTTAATGGCTTTTGGTGGCGCCAGAGTGAAAAAGGGATTACGAGTGTAATGTCTTTATCCTTTGGGGTAAAACAATAAATCTGAATGAGTTTATCAGTAGAACATCGAAATAGAGGATCTTTTATCTGGGCCCAAGGCAGAGCTGCTCACACAGGACACCTGGTTGTACAGACCAACTGGAACAAAGATCCTCCCAAAGCATCCAGCCAGCTTTGAGCTGTTCATGTGGCTTCACGAGGTGTTGACTGTTCAAAGCGTAAAATTAGACAGGGAAACCAGGAGCACAGTACTTTACAGCCTCATTCTGCATCAGTCTGCTCAAAGATCCTGCCTGCATTCAGGTTTTGGATTTATTTTGGTATCCACTCCTCCTCCACATTCCAGACTCCACTGCCAACGCAAGCCTGATATCCCTCCCTTCCTTATCTCGCCACTGAACTGGGTAAAGTGAATGCGCATTTAGTGCATTTAGCAAATGTGGCTATCAGAAAGGAGCACAAATGCTAAGCTGGTGATATAAAAACATTGATTGAAACAGCTTAATTATTCTCACGGGATCAGGGTTTATCAATAAACACCCAATAAATTAGATTCACTAAACATTTAGTTAGCTGCAAAAATATTCACACCCCATGAATAATCTTTTTGGGTCATCCTTTCAATTTGTTACTAAAACAATGTATCCTAGAACCACCTTTTTAGCACATCTCTACCAGCGTTGCAAATGTAGAAAGATGCTAATTGTAAAACAGGCACAGCTCAGCAAAACCAGATGCTTCCAGCTCCATGTTTTATGGTTAGGAGGGTGTAGTCAGAGTTGTGGGTAAATCAAATGGGTCTCATTTGACGAGAACACCTTCCTTACTGTTTTGGTTTTTTTTCTTGCAGAATTCAAACTTCTTATTTATTTCAGAAATAACTTTATTCTTGCAGCCCTCTCATAAAGCCAACATGTTTTTTCACTGAACAGCTGTTCTGTGGACAGATTAGCCCAACTGGGCTCTGGGTCTCTTAGATGATGGTGTAAAAATGTTAAACAACTTTATCTCTGACTTGTCTGCTGTGTTTGCTGCTCTTTATAATACTCTATGGCCATTAAAGAACAGCTAAAGGGACTTATGCTGTGGTGAAATTACAGACAGGTGCACTCTATTCACTAATGCAGCGGCTTCTGGATTTTATTGGCTCGTGAAATGGATCTACTTTTACAGTTTGGATTGAGTGGAAAAGCTTCCAGATGAAAACATACAAAGAGTCCACATTTAGAGACCAACTTCTTTTAATTGACTTCAGGTTGTGATGCAACTTTACGTTTTAGAAAAGAAACATGCTGAAAAACACAGGTCACAAAGGATATAAATCATACAAGAGCTTTCTTTGGAAAGTGTATGAACACCAGAACACGATAAAGTCATCAATATATACATTTACTAAAGCATTTACAAAGAGCTTTGTCAGAATGCAGTACAGTGGGCAGTTCCCAACTATTAAAAATACAAACCCTCCTCCCTCCCCGACTGATAAAACCATATTTGTATTAAAGGTTTCCACATGCATTCCCAGGCGCTTGTTTGTAATACACAGTTTATGCCTCCATTTCTGCCTGCATTACACATGACAAAGCTAAAACAGCATTAAAAGCAAATTTATGACAGCTATTTGTTGCAAAAATCCTAACAATATAGTGCATCCAGGAAATTCTGTAATCGGTCCATTTCTGTTGCTTCGGTTCTGGCATCTTTCCATTTGACGCCATTTTTATAAAAAAAACAACAACACATGTTTCAAAAGAATCCTCATCAGGTTTCTCTCATGTAGGCATAACATTAAATCAGACCTTTAATGAAAAGAACACATTTGTTTGGGACAGATATTTTAATAAAACAACCATTTACTTCAACAATTCAGTGAATCTAACCCCAAAACAAAAGGTAAAACTTTGTCATTCTCACCTCTCGACATTCTTCATAAGAACGTGCTCTCATGAATATCTGGTATTGAGAACAATGAAGACACAACCAGTAAGAGCACAATAAATACTGTAGATTACTGGACGGATACTGTATGGATGTCTGAGCGTCCATAAAGCTAAAAGTTACACAAATGCTTATAAAAACACATAAGGCATGCACGACTAGCTTAGAAAATTTAAAGTGGAACTGAAAAGTGTTTCATTTACAGGGTCTTGGTTTTAGAAAACTAAAAACTGCAAAATAAGCTGAAACATTGACGTTATAGAGTACTTATGACCTGTTATACGTGTGGGTTGATAAATGAAAGCAGTTAAGCTGGATATATTTGCCCACCTTGGATTGTAATCCTATTCTTTTCAGCATAAAGTTGCACAGCAGTAAATAAGAATATAATAAAAAAAAGTCTCATTTATGCCAGTAATTAGGTCTCCACTGTGAAGTTTGTATTGATTCATGCTTTAAGATGTTTCGTTGGCTCAATTTTCCTTCCACTGTATTTTCCATCAGTGTACTTCATGGCAATAATATAAGACTTTCTTTTTGTGTTAATTGAATTTTCTACAAAAAGAAAGAAAAGAAGCTGTACTGTAACTCTAGAAGATAAAAACTACAATAATGGTTTTGAATTTGAAAAAGAATGACTTATATAAATACATCCTTCAGTTAAATTTCGACTGAGATTTACTTTGACCGAGTTGTATGTACAAAATGCCTTGTCAGTCACTGCTTGAGTTGCTTTTAGATAAAACAAAATGTGAAACCTTGTATGCATTTGATTGGTCATTTTCTGTTTAAGTTGAGCATTTGGGATGGCTTATCTTAAAGGCATTCCACTCATTCCATCTATCAGTTTTCATCCCCAGAGGTTCAGCTGCACCGGTCAAGGTCCCTCATACTCTCCATCTGAGAGCTTCCAGCTTCAGCTTGGTTTTGGCTTTAGATCAGTTACCCCAGCTGAGGCCTCAACAGCAACATTTCAGATCCATGCCTGTTCTAATTCACCACGTATCTGTGCTGGATGCAACACTTTTAACGTTTTTTATCACAGCACTGATTGTAAAGGTGTGTGCACATTGTTCTGTAGCATTTCTTATCACTTTACCCTTTTATACTTTGTTCATTACTTTTTGTTTAGTTCTTGCTGTGTCATGATCTACTAAAAATATCTACTGTTTACTGACACAGACTGACTGTGCAGAAAAAAACAAACAGAAAGTTTCGGTTGCAGCAACTGCTGCATCGTAATTTGTGTAAAAAGGCACAACTTATTGGAAAGGTAGGTCTAATCAATTCAATAACATATTCCACAGATTTCAAACAGATGGCATCAATAACCATTTTATTTTCCTTTTTGTAAACATGTTCTGGGATAAAACAAAAACAACTAGTAAGAGCTCAAAAAAATCTACAAACTACCTCAAAAACAGTTACCAGGGTGGATTTGTTTTGGTCTTTTGGGAGCAGCAGCTAAATCAAGCTGTGTCAGAGGATAATTATTTCATTATAGTGCAAAATTGAGCAGCTTATGTCTAATATTTTCCTTCATTACTTTATTCTAAAGATCAGAGAGGTTGATTGCATAAAGGTGTAATACATGTAAGTTTTTTTTTTTTCTTTTTAAGTTTATGGGAGTCCAGCTAAAAGACCAAGTTGTATGCTTGCCGACCTAAAAACAAGAGTAAACAAAACATTTTACAACCTGACATTCATTTATGTCTCATATGCTGTGGTGAAGGCCACCTAAACTATAGATAAATTGGGGAGCAATCTGCAAATCCAGATTGTTAAAGAAATTGCCCTTTAAGGGGTAAACAAATAAATCTGCAATAAACACCCGTCTGTTGGTACGCCGGGATTGGCCAAGCATACGCACAGTTTCCTAAATCCCAGGGTTCTTCAATCATTCCTCAACCCAAATCCACACCAGCTTTTAATGAATGAGACTCATTATGACAACAGCTGGGATGCTACTCTGAATATTTTAACACATCAAACATGTTTTTTAACAGTCTTGGTTTTCAAAGAATGTCTTACATATTTTTTCAATTTTGCTGAACCCTACTTAAGGTACTGGAAAAAAAACCCAAGCCAAAAACCATGAAGCACTGCGTTTCCCCCACCCTGACCATTTACAACAGCGTTTTCAGATGATTAAAGTGAATTTCAGAATAACTGTAAACAACAGTATACTTTTAATGTCCCATGTTGGGTACAAACTAAAAAGCATAATAGTTGCTGAATGGGCTCATATTCTTGTTATGTTCTCATTTAGTTAGCTTATCAAAAATAATCCCAATATTTGCTGAGTGATGTCAGACACTGAGGTATTGCTCCTAAAATTAGGCAGGAACGTCTTATTTACCAGCAGGAACTTTTTAAATCAGCAATATGAACTGTTATAGCATAGTTATTTTTATCGTCTCCTTTAGTGGTTTTCTTTAGTGCAAATAAAATGTATTCAATTTTTAGAAAATGCACCGTCAAGGCTTTCTATTCTACTGAAGGACTCAACTCTTGAGCCAGTCCTATACACTGGTGTTAAAATACTTTTGACCGCTCTGGTAGATTTAAGACTTATGTTAAACATTGCTGTAAAGATGTTATGCAACACTCTTCATACTTATTAATACTCCTGGTAAAGACATGTAAAGATCATTGAAATCAATTTCAAGTAGCATACACTCAAAGTAAAAATATTTAGAATAATCTAAACTCTAATAATAGAACATTATTTCAAAGGCCTGTTTCATAGTGTATGTTAAAAAATGGAAAAAAGGCAACTTCATATGTGAAGCCCAAATGTTTTAATTTTTATTTTTACTACATTAATTAAATAAGTCACTCATATCTCCACAGTTATTGAGCCTAAATGCAAACTTTTGCACTTATGTAAAGCAAAGACGTAAAGTGTTAGTGTTTCTGTTTTATTTGTACCCTTTAGGAAACACCTCATTGTTTTTTTAACAAGACTCTGACCTCTGTCACAGTCTTGGTTTTGTTTTCTTTTGAGTATTCAGTTTTACCTCGCTCCATGTTTTCTAGTTTTAGTGGTATAATTCTTATTTTGTTGTATTTTCTGGTTATTTTCAGTTTCCAGGTTTTTATTTGTTGCCCTCTGCTGCCCTCTTGTGTTCTCCTTTTTCCCTAGCTCCTTTCCTTTTCTGCTCTGTTCACACCTGCTCCCAATCTGCTCGTCAGCCCTCTCTTTGTTTCAGTCTCCCATAAATACTCTCTCTGTGCAGTTCTTGAGTGGTGGTTCCTCATCTAACTTCCTCCAACTCCGTCTCTCTGAGTATTCCTCGCCGTGATTGTTTTTCCCCTGATGTCTCCATGGTTTCTGGTTTGTTTGACTTTTTTCACGTTTGATTTTTGGATACCTGCCTCAGTTGTTTGTTAACACTTCATTAAATCCACAAGAAACTCACCTCTGCCTCCCTGCCTCTGCATTTCGGTCCTCTAGCCACAACCAAACCATGACAACCTCAACAACGGCAAATTTAGACTGAATCATTTCGAGGCTAACGGTCATAACCTCTGATGTCTCCTGATGACATCCGAATAAGACGTGACAGATCTCAAGAATAACAACCATGAACATGTGGGGCAAAAAAAAAAATCCTGTGTTTAAAATGCTGTAAAACCTAAAGTATTTGTGGAAAAGAAATGCTGACTTGTTTATTACGCGTTTATCCCTATCTAATGCAATAAAATTTAGGAAAAGGAAAGAAAAACAATGTGAAGTACTCTAAAGATGGTGAATCACAGATGGGAAGGGGATACCAATGAGTTTATTTGGAAGTAAGACGATCTAATGTGAGCCAAACAAGATCTGAAGTTTATGTTACTATTGTATTTAACAGATGTGAATGTCAGAAGAGCTCTAAAGCTCTTTAGAGCGGCATCTTAAGCTGACAAGGTCAACATAACAAGCAATAGTCAAATGGACCATTTGTTAATTAAAAAAAAAAAGACAAATAATTTTGAATTGGCTAATATCTACCATCACTTCAACATGGCAAAAAAATAAAAGCTTATTCCAGACAAAAGTTTGTGTGAAACAAATGACAAAAATGTGCAATAACTGATCCTGTGTGTGTCTGTGTGTGTGTGGGGGGTGGGTGTGGGGGGTAGGGTCCGGGGGGGTTGTTATTTGCTATTAACATTGGTGGGTTCTACCAGGAATATTAAAACATTTCTTCACTGAGTCTTTAAGCATGTTAGTAACATAAATTGTATGTCAGAAATAAAAAAAGGAATCTTCTATTGTCAACAGAGGTTGCATGAGGTATAAGGAGCAAGTGTGGCACTTTAAAATAATTATTGGATTATGAACAAGGTTTTGATGGTTGGCTGCAACAAAAGAAGGTTGATTTGTTATTTTTATACATATTTTTTGCCTGGTATTAATGTTTGTATCATTTATAAACCAGTTTCCTGTTGGGATATATATTCTGATTCGTATTACTAGTAAAAAAGCTCAGTGTTGATGTTTTTTTTTTTTTTTTTTAACTTTGTGACTAATCTCATTTTAAAACAACCATCTGAAACAGCATATTTTCTCCATATGTAGAAGACGCAAACTCCAATTACAAACTGGTGAGCTGTCAGGAGATGAGGTTTTTCAGCTCGTTAGATAAAAGCCAGAACAGTTCAGAAAAAAAATATTATGTACAAAATGTGAAGCAAAAATACCCCCCCCCCAAAAAAAACCTTAACAGCGTTAACAGGACAGGCCTGAAAACAATCAGAGCGAAGATGTTGGGGAACAGTTCACAGCCTTTGTTAAAGTTCATGAAGGCGGCACTTAATTCATTTTTTTAGATGAAAAGAGAAAAAAACAAAACACTCCTTCTACTTGTGGAACAGGATGGGTTTGGCCAAACCTGCGAGGATCTTTGGAACATGCACAGAAATGATCTCCCCGATCATCTCAGGAAAGCTGACCTTGGTGTGAAGCGACTGAGCCTGAACAAACAGGTCAAAGGTAAATTGATGGAGCTTCTTTACGGTCTGAAAGAGAGGAAAGCACGCAACTGGTTATGTCATGTAAATGAAATTTACTAGGTGTGATTCATTTGAAGTTAGCAGATCCTGCTTGCTTTCACATGTTTTTCATGTGATTCCTTGGCATCTGCTGCCATAAAATCTCTTAATGATATTCAGTCACAGCTCTTTCCCCCTTTTTGTTTTTTATCGAGTATTTGCACCCATTCTTTTTCCTGAAGGACTTTGGTCTTACCATCTGAAGAGAGTCCAGGATCCTAGTCAGCTGGTAGAACCTTTGAGGACAGTTTGTGGTCATCTGGTAATTGATGAGGCGATCCAGTTCATTAATATAGGTGAGCCGCAGTTCGTCAAAGTATTTCTGGCTTTTCAAACCTTCCACCGGAACTGTAAAAAAATAAAACCAGACCCACAGATTGCATTTCATCTACTGCATGAAGATCAAATAAAGAAATACCTTCTCACAGGTTTCTTCTGTTTTCACTTTGCTTGTGGCAATGCTTCAATATTTCAGATCATCAAAAACCTAAACATTTATGTATAATGCTGTTTTAATTCCTCTCAGAAATAAAATTAGGTGTGCACCTTTAAAAAGCTCCACTTTTGTCTCTTTGCTATTATTATTTTTCTACAAATCGTTAAGCTCATTGGGAGATCATTATTATTTTTTTTTTTTTGCTAAATCTGAGACGAAGGACGCTTTTCAGGTTTTGAAACACTGGGGGCTTTAGCCCAGGCCCTAAGTGGCTGTAAGGCCATTTCTAAGTATCCTAATTTAAATATAATAGAGGATATGTACCAGTTGTCAGCATCGGCTGGATTTGTATGACTGGTTAAGTGTCAAAGGTGTACAACTATTTTTTAATGCCATGGCCTGATCTTTAAAGTTTCCAAAAAATTTGTGCAAAACCGCATAATTAATGTAATTATTTTAATTTTGTTTTGTGCATGCAATAAGTGCATGGGGGTGACCTGCACTCATTACTCGCACGAATAATAATTTGAGCAAACGGGTTTGTTCCACCCTGTTGAAATTAATGTATCACATGTTCTACTGGCAGTTTGTGAGTGGCTGTAAAAAAGATGAGGTTCCGAGCCATGTAGATGGAGGTGATTATAACAAGAATTATTAGAAAAAAAAGTAATAGTAAAAATATATATATATATAATAGTAAAATGGCATCAAACGGAAAAGATGCCAGAAACTATTTCAAAGTGCTATGAAAACTAAAAGAAAGGAAAATGACAAAAGTTCAAATGTAATGTTAAATATCATAACACTTGGTAATGTTGTTTTTATCTGTTGATTGACCAAAACCAACCCCATCAAAGAAAAGGAACAAAAATTAGATTCAAAGCAGATTACACTCTAAACAGCTGGATTTACCACCAACTTTAGGCTCAGAGGTTTTCCGGTGACTGTTAATAATATTTTTCTTGTAGATATGCCAAATATTTAATATCAGTCATTGTTTTATTTTGTTAATTATGAAGATCATCTGCTGTTCCGGTGCATTTGTTTGAGTTGGCACATATTTTTCTTCATTAATATTTTTTCCAATACTCTTATTTATAAAAGCCCAAATATATACAGAATCTCTCTTCATCATTTATCAATGTTTCAATGCCTCCTTTGTGGCAACAGTAATATTTCGTGCAGAAATATTTTTACCTGACTTTCTGAATTGATCAAAATGATGCAAGAACTTCAGCCACAGTTGATTTTCCAGATTTAAAAGAATCGTTCTGGACTTGTTAAATGTTTACATTTGCATATCCCCGCCCATAATTTGATCTGCTTATTGATAAAGGCACACCAGTAAAATAAGTTTGTACCCGCCGGGAACTTGATTTTATTAACAAATCACTTTTCGCCTTCCTTAAAGATATGCTCTGTGTGTGAAAACCCGTTTGAATGGGTTTTAAACACGCAATCCTATTGGCCCTTATTGCTTTGTTCATAGCTGAAAAGTGGGACTGAGCGAAACAGTTTATAAAAAAAAAAAAATTGCAGAGGCAGATTAATATAAATTTTATAATATTAAGATACTAATCTAAACTACTTTTCTACCTAATAGATCTAAAAAAAAAAAAAAACTTGATCCTACAACTTTGATAAAATACTGTATGTTCACTGAGAGTCAAATAAAAGTCCAACTTTATCAATCGCCCTTTAAAAATGTACATGCAAATCAAAGCGTTTAACTCCTGGCGCCCCATTGTCATCATTTCTTCCATTTAATAACAGGAACTGGTACAAAGCTGATTTAATTATTCTTATTCAGATGGTGAGATCTAAAAACAGACATATTTGTTTTAACTATGCTGAGAGATTTCTAAACACAAAAAAATTGTTTTTCCAAATATGTTTTCATTACCATGTTACGTTTTACTGTCTTCTTGTCAGCATTTTATGGCATTTTTGAAATACTGTATATATATTATTATTATTAAACACCTGATATATAGAAAAGATTTTAAATGAAGCCTTAAGTGAAAATTATCCCCTTCACCTGAACCACCTATGATGTCCCTTGTTCAGCTCCATCCAATCAACTGGGGGCCACACCTTCTCCAAAGCCAATCATGTTTCAAGAACCCCTTTATCCAGCTCCTGGCCTAGCTTCTCTCACCCGCAAACAAGCAAACTTTCACCCACCTCCGCCCCATCTCCTCCCCAGTTCTCAGAATATTCTCAGTCTCACTCATCCTCTGGCTTATTCTACAACTAGTGTTCAGGCTCTAGAGGAAGACTACTCTCATCCTTTTCGAGGTTGCTCATCCAAGCGAATGTTCATTCATAGTATCAAAGTCTTCTGCCGGGGGGTCGAGCGCCAAATAACTTATTTCACTAATGTCTTTATCTGCTTCTGTCTCCTCAAACCACAGTTGGCCTCGGGTGAAGGCCGCTCACACTGAGCCTGGGAGTTTTCCTCTCCACTTTCGCTACATGCATGCTCAGCGTGAGGGATTGCAGAGAGCCAATGAGTCCTTACAATCTGCTGGTTTTCCTTAGATAGAAATATTTTGAAGAATATGATTGTAGTACCTGTTTACATACAATGAATACTTTTGCAGCTTTTCTCTGTGTGAGTCTCTCCAGGTTGAAATCATAGTGTGTAAAGTAAAGTGAAATAGAATGTCTGACAGGAATAATGATGCAGTCGGCCTTCAGTTGTTTTCACGCAATTGTCGAGCAAAGTTTGTTTTATTAGATCACAATATTTGCGTGGAACGTGGCGCATGCAAGTTTCAGGCCATTTTGTGTCAGCAGACTTGATAAATGACAGCCCACATCACATCACGATGTAAATCAAGCCAAAAAGCTCAGAAAGGACCTTCATCCTGCTCATTGGGGTAAACCTACACGTTTTGTCTTGCTGGGTGAAAAGTGATTTTCTGTAACATACAGTCAGTCCTTGTAAACCAGCATTCACATTTTTAAGTGCTATCCTTTTACTTTTTTTTTTTTTTTTTTGCCGCTTTGCTTCCACCTGTTGCGGTGCACATCAGGCTTCCCCCATTGTTGACTAAGTAACTGCTCTTATGAGCCATGTTCCCTACTGTTTAAGCACTCAGTGTTGCTTTCAGTGTAATGAACGAGGCAAACCTTGATCCGTGTCAAACGGCCGTTCTGCACCTCTAAAGACTGCAAACTTGTCCCAACTAGTCCATTCGCTATGCCACCTCTGAGGTTATTATCCTTTTCCAATATCTAATTTTTCCTTTGACTCATTGCTAGGTTAGATTGATCAGGCAGTATAAAGTAAACAGAAGCAAATCTGTATGTTTTTTTTTTTTATTTATTGTTTAAACTTGAGGCCTAAATTAACCTAAATGCATTACCAAATGTCTTCCTACATGAGATGCAGGACTATTCATAAAACATCTATGAGTAAAGCCCCTCGAGGCACGGATCTAACGGCACACCTCTGTGAGGTGCTCAGATGTCTCACAACTCTCCCAGGAATGTCATCAATGCCCTGTTTCTTTCTAACGTCTAAATAAGGAACACTGACTTTAACTCATGAGGCCCGCACTGTTTTATATGTTTTTGGGGTTCTTTTACAGCCTCCTACAGTATATGAGTTATTGGTGCTCTCTTTGAGTAATTTAGGTATTCCAGACAATCTTGGGAAGGTTTACTGCTGTTTTGTGTTTTTTCCAATTATTGGAAAATGATTCCCACTGTGGTTTGCAGAAATGTTTGTCATACTGATTTATGTAAATTTGTTGTTTTTTTGTTTTTTTTTATCTATTGCTGAATTTCTTTATTTTAAGACATGATTTGGTGGTTGGAAAAAATTTTGTCCTATTCATTCATTGATTCTATAGTAAAGGCATAACTTTGTCTGATATTAATATTAGCTGCATGATGAGAAATCTGTATGGGTGTAAATGGTGTGGATAGTCAGCTAACAACAACACTTACTGATACTGAAGAGGAGCAGGGCCTTCATGCAGAGGAACTCCTCCTGTGTAATCTGCAGCAGCACAAACTCCTGGGACAGATGTCTCATCCGCATGCAGTGCTCATACATGGTGGAGATCTGCATCCGATGTCTGCAGAAGTAAAAAGGTCAGCGAGTGAGAGACAGCGACTAATGGGAATGGCTCAATTTCCAAGAGGTTAGGACATTTTCTCCATAATGAATAACTGTTGAAAGGAAAGCATGTCAGAGGTTAAACCCATACCAATCACAGATTGTGAATCAAATTTACAGGAACAGGTTCCCACACTGTAATCTTTGACATCTGGTGTAAAAAGGCTAAAACCACACACAGTATTACCATACGGTCCCATCATCTATCATTCGCATGAAGTGAAAGAGAAATGACAGAATTTTCAGTGTTCACCTCATCTCAACAAGCCGCCAGATACATTACAGTCAAAGTTTGTTAGCTTTGTTGAAATGAAACTATTCAGTCTTTATTACAAACTTCATTCACATTTATAAAGCTGTGCAGACAAAAGCAAAATGAGATGAAATAGTAATTGGAATAGAAATGTCACACGAAAAAATCCAGCTGAAAGAAAATGAAAGATAAATGTGCTCTGTCTCTCTGAAAACCAATATACAGTCATTTTAAAGTATTCAAAGCCTTTTCCTTAGATTTGATCAGCTCACACCACTAACTTCAGTGCGTGTCAGACTAGCATAAAGCAATCTTTAAAAGTTAAAATGCATTAGTTGTTTCCTGAAAAACAATTAGCTGCATTTGCAAAATTAAGTCTGTTGTATACCAGCTTTACACATTAAGACATCTTAAGATTATTCCTGCATTCCTGATAAAAAAAAACCCCTCTAAATTTAGATAGTTATTATTTGTCAAAAGACATTTTTTCCAGATTCTGAATTACGTTCAGGTGTGGACCAGTGGCATCGCCTGGCCTGGACGTTCCCGACTCTAACTCCTAATGATTCTCATCAAGCTAATCTTTTTTTTTAACTTAGGAAATAATAAAAAACTGAGCCTTCCTATGTAATTAAATGATAAGAAGTTTTGTAATTTCCAAGCTCTGATGAATGCAACACAAGCAACAACGCTATGACCAAAGAGGAGTTTGTGTGAAATCGGACACTCGTCCATGATTTATTGGCTATTAGCGCTGCTATTATTTAGGGTCATAAAAAAAGAAAGTTGGAGAAAGAAAGAGTATAATATTTCTGTGGTGGCTGGCAGTGGGGCCACTATGGAACAGGCAAACAAAGAAGTTATCAAAATTATGCGAATATCAGGCATCTCATTCATGATGACAAAATGTCAAGCTGGAAACGGACCAAGCATAACTTGTAGAAGTAGAAAACACAGCTGTTTCCACATTTTCAAAGCCATTTGGTAAGTGGTGATGGTATGGTCTGGTAGCGAAACGTAGCAATTCAATTCAAGTCAATTGAGTTTATTTATATAGCACCAATTCACAACACATGTCATCTCAAGGGACTTTACAGTTCACCAGATCATACAGTCAAACTGATTCAAAGTTTTCCATCAGAGGAAAACCAGTTGAATGCATCAACTCATTGACTCAAATACAATCCCTCACACTAAGCATGCTTGTAGCGACGGTGGAGAGGAAAAACTCCCTTTTAACGGGAAGAAACCTCCAGCAGAATCAGGCTCAGTGTGAGCGGCCATCTGCCGAGGCCGACTGGGGTTCAAGGAGACAGAAGCAGACATACAAACACACAGCCAGGCAGACGAGCTCCGAGCCAGCTCCCATGTCAGAGGATGAAGAGAGCACATCCAGCCAGTCACAGTCAGAGAAACAGGACTACACTGGAAAACAGGCAGATCTCGTAGCACCAGGAAGACACCAACTTCAGCACACAATTACCAATCACATTGCAGTGAGACAGCTACACTGTGTTTAAACCTCACACTTGCTTTTCAATCGCGGTGTGGTTTTCATAAACTCTGCTCATAGTTAATTTCATTCCTTCCACCTCATGAAAGATTATTTAAAACTTTGTTTAATTTCTCCCAAAGATATCTCTATCTTATATACCAATTCTTTACTATCAGTGATTATATTTAAGCTCCATTCTAAATATGAATTGATACCCACCAGCAGGTTGGAGTTTGATGTGCAGTTAGAAGAACGTGTATATGTTAGGGCAGTGTATTCTCATTATGAGTTCGTATGAAATCGTACGAAAAGTTATGCACCGTAATTTCGTACGTTTTGGACGTTTTTTTCGTCGTATGCACATGCGCATCTGACGCACCATTCACAAATATAGAATATAAATAACAATTAGCCCTAACCCTGACCCTAACCCTAAGATATTAAACAGAAAGCAACGTAGTTAGAGACTTGAATAAGTGATGATTGCACTATTTTTCCCATTTTTACGTCCGTCCGCGGATCTGCTTTTTTTTTCTGTCTGCCAGCGCATGCGCCCTGATGTGGTTTTTTTAGGAAAAACTTCCAAAACGTACGAAATAGTGTGCATAACTTTTCGTACGATTTCATACGAACCGATAATGAGAATATGTTTGTTAGGGATGTCCCAATCCAATATTAAAACAGGATCATGTCTGATATTAGCCTTAAAACTAATATTAGATAGATGTATCCGTTTCTATCATTATTTTCATTATGATTGAAACACTCTGCTTCTGTTCAAAGTTTTATCGGTTAATTTTAAATGGGTCAGACGTTTTCATACCTTTTTTGTTGACTTTTTTTCCCTTATTTTAGTGATATTAGTTGATCAAACCTGATATGATCCATACTAATATTGTATCAGGTCAACGTCGGTATCGTATAGAAAATGAAAAAGTTGTATCGGGACACCCCTAGTGTTTGTTTTCCTTTCACTTTACAAGTTTGCACGACTTTCAGCAGAGGCTTGGGGTGTATTTAGACAAAATGTGGAAAAGTGAGAAAAAATGCAGTTAGGTATAAAATTCTAACTTTATAGTTACAGAGGAGACTGCATCAAAGCCTCTAAGGTTCAGCAAGTATAGTAAAATAAAAAATACTGGAATCTGCACAACACGGACTTTCTTCCTTCGTTGTGGGGGTCTACTTCTGTGGGACATATTTTATTTATTGAGCATAAAAGCACAACCTGTTGAACCAATAAATTTTAAAATACTGCTAGATTTTTTTCCCATTGGTCTTTTTTAATAGTCACCATAAATATACAAACCAGGCTATGAAATTCCTAAATTAATGTGGGGTGACTATCCATCTCAAGTTTAAGTGGACCACATGCTGTACATTACATGTGTTTATATTAGGATAGAAACATTCTGTCTGGCTAAGACTTAAAAACTCTGAAAAGCCTGATATCTGAGGAGAAACCTCCCACTAAAAAGCTCTTGCTCTCATAAATTATGGCTGTTTCCCTAAGATATGTTGTAATGATTGTGTTGGCAGTTTGTGTAAAAGGAATTCAGGCTGGTTCCGGTCGTCTTTAGCTCTCTTTATTTCTACCACTGACTGTTTTAGCAGCTGTAAAATAGAGTTACTAGATGCTCAACAAACAGGGCTGGATTCACAACTTCTGTTTTTAGCTGATACTATGAACCCTCTCCAGCTGTGTTTAAACATCCTGTTTATAATGCTGAGTAAAACTACAGTTTCCTAAAGGATTTATAAATTTGGTTTAAGTTAAACAGGGCTGTCAGCACTATAAAGAACACCTATTGCAATATTCTTATGTGCAAAATCACAGAAACATTTGGCAGGCTATATTATTTAAAGTGTCATGAATTAACGGGAGCCGTCAAATAATTTATTTGGCCAGTTGGATTAACTTTCACAGCGCTACATGTCGGCATCTGCTGTTGATTTTAGTGACAGAGACCCTAATGCTCACAGAGATTGGCGAAAACATAAAAAAATTTCCAAGGATAAAATGGAAAAAAGGAGTTGTGAGGAAAATGTGAGTTAACAGAAAAATTCAGCATCAGCCTTGCATTTTCTTGTCATATCCAGCTTAAACTATAAGTACCTGTCTTCTGCATTACTAAATCTGTCTCTTAATTACCATTAGAGAATTGTTGGACCAGTGTACAACATCATCGCCGTTCATTGTTTGTGGAAACTCGTCTGTGACAGCTCATTAAGGTCCAGACCACTAGCAAACTGTCTAAAACCCTAATGAACACCTTAGTCTATTATTCAATGTTTAGGTATGGTTTTAGTGCAACAAAAATTAAATGTCTTTTGTTATGTAAATTGGAAACAGTGAAAGTATGTATTCTAGTTCAGCTCTAAATAAATTGTGATATTTTCTGCTGCTTGGCTGATTGACAGCTTCATCTGGAGACTTTGGGGCCATTTCATGAACTCATTGCACAGCTTGAGATTTTTCTCCTTTGATAACCAAAGCAACTAGAATTACATTTTGTAGTGGAACCATTATTTACAACATTTTTGTCAATATTAGGAATGAGGATAGAATGTTATAAGGAGGAATTTTAATCATGGATGTCAGTCAGTGATCATCTCCTTGTATTTGATATTTATAATGAACAATGTGATAATATAGAGCATGACAACAGCAATATCTATAAGGGGATCAACTAAGGCTTAAAAAGAGGATTAAATGTATAAAGATGACACGAATGTTGCCTATGATTCCTTTATGAACTTATTGATCGGTTTGTATAAAAGAACAGCAAAGTTATAATTACACAAGGCGACACAGAAAAAAAGCTCTGTTTTTAATTTTTGTTTTGTTGTTACATGTTTTCTTTGTATTTGTGAACTTGTTGTTGTTTTATTTTATTTTTGTATGGCTGTAATTATCAGAGTTGAATAAGTAATACATTATTGAAAATGAGGGCAGAAAATATATGTTTTTTACTTCTTTTTGCTCCTTTTCTTTCCTTCATGATTTCAGTTGTCAACTGCACAGGTTTCGTTACGCTGCTTTCTTTTAATGAATGGATGAATAAAATAAATAAAAAAATAAATAAAAAATGTAAGCCATTAATCAAAACTATGGAAGCCGTGAGCAGTCGTGTCCCTCTGATACTCTTTCACAGTGGTTTTCTTGAGAAAACAAGTTAATTTTCTCATTATCTAAAGATAACAAAAGCCATTTTCTCATAATAACAAGATGATTGGTGTGTGTTAAAACTGATTACATCCTTCAATACCACAACAGAGAGGATTTATAAGTATAAGTAATGGCAGCCTATGTGTAATTCTGTAAAGAATCCCGTGTTTAACTTTAAGGTAACGAGGCAACGTTGTTGGTTTGATGATTTGCTTCCACTTGTGATTCATAAGCAATTAGACCTATGCCTGTGGCGCCTTATCACTGGGTGTTTTCTGTGTTATGCCTGTAAAAAGTATAAGATGCATTTACCCCAAAAATGAGTCCAGATTTAAGATTCTCATTAAAAAGGCAGGCAGATTTGTTTCTACTATATTCCATGCAATCCAATCATCCACCACAACCTGACAATGAGAGACAACTATGTGCACCGCAGGCATGGATGGACTGGGAATCCAAGGCTGTTGGCCAGCCTCATTCATTACTCATACAGGTTAATCATCTCGTTATCTTGAGAAATCGATAACTGTTTTCTCGTAATAACGAGATAATTATTATCTTATCATTATGTCATTATCTCGAGATGGCAAAGAAAAAAAAAAAATTGGAGAACGACCGCTCTCGGCTTCCGTAAAATACTACAATATAGTTAGCAAAAACATTAATATATTGGTTTACAGTATCTAATTGGTAGTTTTTATAAAACAGACGATAAATAAAAACACTGCAAATTAGCAAATAATTCTGATATACTAATCAGTATTTAACGATTAGTATATTAGAATTCAATAAAAATCAGTAGAAAACAACAACAATGTATGATGTACATGTAGAAAAAGTACCTAATATGTACTTTTCTAAAAAAAACTTTTTATCCAAGATGAATGGAAATAATAATAGTCCTAAAACATTTTCGCAAACTGTCAAATCCCCCTCTGCTAACTCTTGAACTTTTGAGCTTCTTTCTAATATTTCTTCCACAGGTGTGTAACATATAGTGTTTTCTATGAACATTTTATCTCCTATATATCTTTATTTGGCAGGCTGTTCACAAACACCATCTTCACACAGCCACAACCTTTCTATGTTTGGGCTGTAAAGCCCAAACATAGAAAGGTCAGCAGGCGCCCCCACTTAGTTTCTACTCCTGGCTGCAGATTTAATAGAAAAATCTTTATGCCACATATTTAATCTTTTTAATTCAACAGAATAAATTCCCAGAAATTTGTAACACAGCATTCATGTTTTGTCTTTGATAAAAAGTGATAATTATAGACAATTTTCAGAGCTTTTACTTTTGGGTGAAAAACTGTTACTTACTCGTTAAAGACAAGGTCAGGAGCAAAGTAAAGCATCCTGCCATTGACGTTCTTGTAGGACCTCCATACCAGAGCAAAGACCATCACCCCCATCCACGACTGCTGGATGACAGTCATCTGGTCATCCACATGGAGATTTCTGAAACCTTAGGACAAACGTTGCAAACAATTATTGTTTTGGAACATTATAAAAACAGGTCAACAGAAAGATTATTGAAGGACAAAGTTTAAGTCATGTATTTTTTTTTAAAGAAATACTTGTTACACCTTCTTTACACGTATTCTACCTTTTAATGTCTAGTCCAGTTACATACTTAAACCAGTTTAGATTATTTATTCTCCAACTTCAACAAGTTACTATGCAAGACAAACAAAAAAACAAAAACATTGGAATCCTCCAGGGGTGGATTTTAATGCTGTAAGATTTAAACAACTTAATTTCTATCTCTTGGCACCAAAAGGTTGCATGGCATCTTAATTCTTTGGCTGATGAAATTGTAATCATCATTTGTCTCAGATTTTAGTGCATTAGTGTCACGTCTTCATTCCTGCATAAATTAGCCATGAAAGTTGGGCAGGATCACTTTGACTGCTTGCCTATTGCCTCCAACAAATGGAGACGGTTTTGGATGAACACAAAACTGTGAAAAGAGAAGAACAGTGGGGAAAATTGAAGAAGAAAGAGGAAATAAGTTGGAACCTCTAATATACCATCTTCATCTCATCAAATACTGAATGGCTAAGGAAATCTTTTCTACTAGTAAACTCATAGGAACTACTACACTTCTGGCCAAGATTCCCCTGCAGGATCTAGTTAAGAGGTAGAAAGAAAAAGCTAACAAGTAAGGAACAGTATACTATAGCATGATTCAAACTGCGGTTTGATACCCCAAAATAAACAATATGACGCACTTATTATGTTTCTACTGAGAATCTACTGAGAATTAGTAAATATAGCCATGTTTGTGTCAAAATTAATCTTAAAATTAATAATGCAGCTGTAGTGGGAAAGCCCCAGAGGTTTGTTAGAGAACATCGTGAAAGCCAAGGAACACCACAAAGGTCAGAGAAAGAGTTACAGAGAAGTACAGTACTTTGAAAATGTATTGCACAACTTTAAACCTGCTGAAACATATTCATCCACCTAAACTAGCAGGCTGGACAAAAGAGCATGTTCTCTTGAAGAAGAGCAGCCAAAAGGCTCATAGTAACTCTGAAGGAGCTGCATGCATCCACAGCTCATCTGGGGGACTGTGTTGGTAGGAAAATTGCCTGTTATGCACTACATAAATCGGTTAACAATTTGCCATTAGTCAAGCAAATACATAGTGTAGAAGGGGGCGGTCTGGTTAGATTAGACAAGAAGAACATTTTTGTCAAACAGGAAACACAAAAACTAACTTTACTCTTAAATCTATAAAGACTATCCCTGCTGTTAGACATGGTGGTGGCAGCATCATGTTGTTGGGAACTTTTCTTCCACATGAATCGAACAGTTGGGAAAAGACGAGGGGAGGACAATCATTCAAGAAAACCTATGTGTGAGGTTCACTGTTAAACTGGACATTTAGACTAAAACTACAACAGACAGTACAATCAAATGATTAAGAAAGAGTTGAATTGAATTGCTAACTCATATATAAACTTGATTATTTAATGAAAATCTAATTGAGTTCCTGTAATTTTCCACAAAACAACTGGACAAACATGGCACTCTCTAGAGGAAAAAGGCAGAAACTATATAGATACATAGCCCCACTTGTACATATGCATGTGAACTCTTTGAAATCTGTATTTGGGCAAACTTTTAAATCCATTTCTGTTCCGCTTGATAAAGCGGGCCTGCAGCCAAACATGCTTTTACAATCAAGCACAATGGTCGCATGCTAGAAGCTGTTCCTTGCAAGTTTAGTTAAAAGCAAAAATAAGCTCAAATGGAAGAGAATTTTCTAGGTGACACATGAAGCCTTTCCCTGAGAGCTTCTTGCTTTTTATGTAAAAACTATGAAAATATGTGGCTGTGCATCTCTAAAATAATAGAACATTTGGCAAATACAAGGATCTGAAAATCCCTATAACCAGAGTAATGTTAGCAAAAAATGTTATTGAGCTACTTCCAGCTGAATAAACAGTTTGTTCTTACTGTAACTGGCATTATTTAATCAACTGAAAAATCCAAACAACATAACATTAAATAATTTGTACTACATTACTGAGCAAGCTAAAACATAATTAATTTGGTTGGCACCCTGTAGGGTTTGCTGTGTAAGGCTCGCAATTAAAGACATAAATATACTACACAGTGGAGAAAACGCTATAAAATGTAGGATTGTTGTCACAGAGGGGGGTAGATAGGAAACATTGAGACAAAATGAAACACATCATTAAAATGCAAAAAAAAAAAAAAATAAGAAAACTAAAAATAAACTGCAATGTCTTGAACCTCAGTGTATTCTGGTTAATACACAAATCAATAGTATCTATAAGACTGCTGTTACTTTAACTTATTTTAATAAAAAAAAGTGTTGCACATTGTGCTTTTAAATCAAAGATAAAACTACTTGACATTTTAGTTTGGTGGTTTGGTTTTTACAGGCAACCAGAGAGTTGGTTTGAGTGGCAATGAGAGCTCTATGTGCTTCTTGTTGAATTTTACGACTGTACGCCCATGAAGCTTTCCCCACTGTCTTAAGCATGCACAGAAAATCTGTAGGGTGGTAATGGCAGTTTGTATTTGAGGTGTCAGTGTATATGGACCCAAATTCAGAATGGTGGCATCAAATCCCACACGCATGACCCATGTATATCAACCCATATCGGTTATCAGAGAATGCGAAGTTGCATCTGCCAGAAACATACTAAGGCAGCAAATTGGCCACACTTGTTTGGAGCCTTTAAATATGTTATGGGGCTCTTGGCGCTGCTATGAGCATTGTGTTCAGTTGCTGCTTTGGCTGCAGCCACAAGAATCTCACCAAACAGCAAAAAAACAAAAAACAAAACAACAATCTACGGGATCCAAGACATGTACCATGGTCTGCATTGTAGCACCTCAACCTTAACCTGGTTTAGCATATATATCAGTGGCGGCTAATGGAGTTTTCTCCATGGGGGGCTATAAATTCAAAATAAAATCTTCTACTGTATACCTTTTTATTGCAGAGGAGCTACTGTGCATGTAGAACTTTTAACGAGAGTCAACAATGGACACAGATATTTGTGCCCCAGGGTGGAAATATGTCATGAATCCAACGAAAAATTTAATAACACTTTACTAGTCATTAAAGATCAAATATGTATCTTGCAGATCTAAGAAATAGATATTAATATATTTGGAAATATTATAAATGTTCATTTAAAATTATATATATACATATACTTTTAACGATCAGAACAGGACAGGTGGACCCAGAATTCAAACCAGACAAACAGTGTGAAGCTTGACACAGTTTATTGAAACAAAACTGCTGCAGGTAGTGTCAGCGACTAGTGCAGGAACCTCTGGAAACAGAGAAAGACGATTGGTGACCAGGTTAGCTTTAAGATGTGCATCAATCGCAAACATAATGGTCACTAACCTTCTCTTAGTCCTCAGTGTGGGAAGAACCATGAGGTTAGGTTTGAGCAGGTTGACAGTACCGCCGATGTTGCTGACACTGGCCAGCAACTTCCAGAGAATAACTCCAGCTGAGTTACGATGATCCATGATCAGGCAGAAGGTCAGAACCGTCAAGACAATAGCAGGCAGGAGGAACAAGAGGACAAACACGAATACATAGTCGGGGTGAAGTCCAGTGTCAGAGCAAGGTGATCAGAAATACAATGAAGCATCAGAAGGATATCCAGGATGAGGTCGAAAAACAGTTCCAGGTTAGGCAATGGGCAGGCACACCAGCAGCTAGTAAGGTCAGAATGGGGTTCAGACAGGCTCAGAAACAGGGACAGATGAGGTCAGGCAAGTAGGCAGGAAGTCAGGAGTCAGAATGCTGGAATAGATCTCACCAATGGCTTAAAAATAACCTAGCACTGATGTTTGGTATGAAGGCTGTATATATACAGATAGTTGTAGGTGGATCAGATGAGTAGTAGTGAGAATGGGGCGGAGCTGAGCAGATGTGTCTTGTGAGGAATCACACCTGCATCAGTGCGTCATTGCCTAGACCATGACAGACCCTCCAACCTTAAGGGAGGGATCTAAAACCACTTGGGCTGATCGGGATGTTCCAAAATTCACAAATCAGGGTCTTGTCCGGTCCGCATCCCTCCCAGTCTACTATATATTTGGTGCCCCCTCATCCTGGACCTCAGAATGCGTCTAACATTGTAGACGGGGTCACCATTGATCAGTTGGGTGGTTGGAGGGGAGTCTGGAGGCAGGTACAAATCTGGAGGAGAGAACTGGTTTCACAGTACACATGAAAGTCGGATGGACCTTCATGGTGCAAGGAAGCTGAAGATAGGAAATGGGCTGATGAAACGAGGTGCCAGCTTCCGACTGTCAATTCTCAAAGGCAGATCCTTAGTAGAGAGCCAAACCTTCATGAAGGACAGAAGGTGAAACAGCGAACTCAGCGGTAAGAGTAGAGGAGGGGGTTCTGTGTTTACATAAACAACAACTGGTGTAAAAATGCTATATCGGTCATCAGCTTCTGCTCTCCCGACTTTGAGTTTCTGACTGTTAACCGCAGACCATTCTATCTGCCCAGAGAGTTCACTGTGGCTAGCATCATTGCTGTTTGTGTCCCCCCCACCGCTAATACATAAAAGGCCATGAAGATTCTTTACTAGTCTATCTCTGAGATTCAATCTGCACACACAGAGGGCATTTTCATCATTGCTGGGGATTTTAACCAAGCTAACTTGAAGACCTCGCTCCCTCATTTTTACCAACATGGGGACTTTGCAAATCTGGGACAGAACACTCTGGATTTAGCCTTCATTAACATCTAAGATGCATTCAGAGCATTCCCCTGCCCCCATCTTGGGTCATAAGATCACCTATCTGTCATGTTAATTCCTGCATACAGGCCGCAGCTAATGCTCTGACTGGAACATGTTCAAAGCTGCAGCTACATATGAAAACAAGATTAATATTGATGAGTATGCCATGACTGTGTTAGCCTATATCAATAAATGTATTGAGGAC